AAAGGTGTGTGTCACCACTGTCTGATCTATAAGGTTGACCAGGGTGGCTGTTCTACTTTCTGAACTTCAGGCAAGCTTTATTTATTAAAATACAAATGAAATATCACTATGGGTGATGTTGGAAAACTATACATATTATTTCAATTTCCCTAACCCTGCTGTCTATTCTGAGTCTTAGGACATATGTTCCATGGAAGAAATTAAACTTTTTTTACAGCTTAAAAGTAAAAGTTGTATTAGAATACAAAAGGCAGTGTGGTAGCTCTAAGAAGGCTCTCACAAGCTTCCCTGTGCAGGGCAATGCATTCGGCAACGAGCTGTTCTGATTCCTGATGGATGGGTCATTTTCCTTGTTTATTTAACTGAGTATACAGAGCAACGAGTTTCATTACAGTACTAACTTTCTTTCATCTTTTCTTCTTGGGTCTCCCTGTGTATCCCAGCTTGGCCTGGGACACGAGGTAATCTTCTTGCCTCAGTCTCCCAGTGCTGTGCCATCCTCCCCAGTTCATTAAGGTATTTTCAAACATAGGGCACTATATTGTCTTCCTACTTTGCTCGTCCTTCATGTCCCCTTTAAAAACCAGTAAGTTGGGCTGGAGAGATGGCTCAGTGGTTAAGAGCATTGCCTGCTCTTCCAGAGGTCCTGAGTTCAATTCCCGGCAACCACATGGTGGCTCACAACCATCTGTAATGAGGTCTGGTGCCCTCTCTGTCTGCAGACGTACACACAGACAGAATATTGTATACATAATAAATAAATAAATATTAAAAAAAATAAAAATCAGTAAGTTAAATCTTTGAAACAATACTAATAATAAAACAACAAAGTGGTATTGCCAGTTCTGCTCACACTATTTCTTCATTTGCAGCCCTTCTCCAGATTCACAAAGCACTATCAATGGTCTTCTGCCTGTCCACTCCAGTGCCCTATCCAAGCCCAGATTCGGAGTTCCACGGGATCAGAGACCTATTCATTTCTTTTTTAAATATTATTTTTAATCATTTTACATACCAATCACAGTTTCCCCTCCCTCCCTTCATCCTCCTTTCCCCACCTCCCCCCAGCCCACCACCTTCCACTCCTCAGAAAGGTAAGGCCTCCCATGGGGAATCAACAAAGCCTGGGAGTGCAAGGAAAGAGATATCTCAATAGAGAAACCTACTCATTTCCTCCACAAATGACAACACAGATTCTGGCAAACAGTGGGGATGCTTCATTCAGGAATGAATGACTGCACAACAAATTGCAGCCTGCCGCTGCTATTATCTAGCTGCATAACTGCTATTCAATTTAAACAGCCTCCTATAAGCTCACCTGTAGAATAGGTTTTGACTGGCTCACTATACTTTTCTTTACATACTGCAAAGAGAAAATTGAAGAGGTACCGACTTATAATTTAAATATCCAATTATAAGTAGATTTTGTTTTGTTTTGCCTTTTGAAACACGGTTTCTCTAAGTAACCCTGGCTGTCCTGAAACTGCTCTGTAGACCAGCCTGGCCTCCAACTCAGAGATCACCTGCCTCTGACTCTTGAATGCTGGGATTAAAGACAACAACACCCTGCTTATAAGTGCATTTTTAAAAAGCTATGGTGGGTGTTGGCATGATGGCTCACTGATTAGGAGCACTTGGTGCTCTTCCACAAGATCTAAATTCAGTTCTCAGAACCCACAATAGGAGGTTCATAACTACCTGTAACTCCCCCTGCAAGAATTCAATGCCTCTTCTTGCTTCCACAAGCATTGAACACTTGGTACATACATACATATGTGCACACATGCATGTGTGCACACACCAAAAAAAAAATCCTAAAAGTTATAGTGCTTAGGTCATAAACCACTAACTTGATGAGACCTTAATTTAAAAATCAGTACAGATAAACAAATGAAAATGTTAGATGGAAAAGTACACATCTTTTATATCATATATATTAAACAAGAAATGGGCATACTGGCTGCAAATACACAAACATACACAAAGAACAGAGAAATTTAAAGAGACTGATATAATCTGGGCTGCCCCTTCCACTAAAAATGTTACTGCAAAAAAAAAAAACCCTCAAATTAATAATTAAATTAATTATTTAAAAACAGCATATAAGGGAAAGAGCTTTTGAAAGGTTGTAGTATAAAAGTTCTAGATGCATGCACCTAAGAGAGAAAACCATCAATTACCACTGAGCTGTACTAATGAAGGCATATCTTAAATTGATTTGCATTTCACCCCTAGCACCACGTATCTCAGTGATCATATTATGTTGCAAGGAAAATTAGGTTGGTTACTTCATGTCCTAAATTATCCCCTAAAATGCCATCTTCTAAGCCCAGAATGTGTGTGCATGAAATCTGAACTACTTAGGAAGCAGAAGCAGGAAAACACAGAATTCCACACAGCCCTGGTAACATGGCAGGAACTAGTCACAGCAAGGAAAATTGGAGGTGTGGGGGTGAGGGCTCTTAAATGTTACCATCTTGTCTAAAGTTGCTAACCTAAAGCTGCTAGTCGTTTTTTCTCCTGGATTTTTTCTTCTGGGTTCCGTATCTAGTTTCCCTGCCTAATAGTCTCAGGTCACATGTTATCTTTAGTAAATGACTAAACTTTTGTTGTTGTTTCTTCCACTAATACAGCAATATAAAGGATCACTTTCTGATTTGTTCTCTTCTAGAACCCCAGTGTATTCATAGCATATGGCAGAGGAGATGTCAACATCTGATAAATGAAGATCTGAATGCATGGGTAGCATTTTAGACAATGGATCTCAAAGTCTTTTTATCTTTTTTACCAGTCACTGGATACAACTCTACAAGGCACAGACGCTGAGCAGGAAAGGTGGTAGAATTAGGTTGGTAGCAGGGAACTAGTGAATGAGGACATGAGAACATCATCTGCCTGCAGAATCAGATTATTTAAAATGTACACAAAGCATGCTTTGTGCCCCCTTTGGCTTGTTAGGAAGTATGATACTGGCTTAATGCTGTTCATCATGGGAACAGACAACAAAGGAAAGCTGTGTGATGAATTGAGCCTGGTCCAAGGCATGTTTTAAAGCCAAAGGGGTCTCTCCAAAGCTTTTCAACTACATAGCAAAGAAAGTTTAAAGCTAATAAGAAAAATTCTCGAAAGTAAGTAACTATTGAATTTAGATGGGTTATTACATTTTTTACTCCCCTTCTGAATGGAATATCTCCCCAGATTATTAATCAACAACTGCTGTCAGAAAGATGAGACTGTAAATAATTTACAAATACCTATAAAGAGCAATGTTGATTTCACTGTGGATCTGAGGAGAGCTTGGTCAACTAGTCAACATGGCCTCCATGAGGAAGTGACTTAAAATGTAGCTGAGTTAAGAAGGAAAGAAATATTCTCCACTATCAACCTTGAGAATCCAACCCCAGGCAATGGCCAGCAAGACAGCTCAGCGAAAAGCACTTGCTCACAGGCCTGTTGACATGAGTTCAATCCTCAGTTCCCACAAGGTGGCAGGAGAGAACCAGATCTGGAAAGTCTCCTCTGATCTTGTGTGTGCACGCACACACAGACACCACACACACACACACACACACACACACACACACACAAAAAAAAAACAGAAAAATCTAAAACAACAGCACATATGGCACACAATTATGGAAGCAAAGTATCACATATGCAAAGGAGCAAACAGTAAAACTATAGGAACAGATATTTAGCTTAAGAAATCCACATGAAACTCATTTTTCCTAAAGATTCTTTCAAGTGTGTGCATGTCAGAAACATATATCTGTGGGTACCCACAGAAGACACAGGAAGGCTCAGGTCCTCTAGAGCTGCAGTTACAAGCATGATGGAGAAAGGTCACTGGTTAAATAAAGAAACTGCCTTGGCCCTGATAGGTTAAAATTTAGATAGGCAGAGTAAACAGAACAGAATGCTGGGAGGAAGAGGAAGTGAGCTCAGAAATCATGCAGCTCCTCTCAGAGCCAGACGCCACGAAGCAAGCTGCCAGGTCAGATATGCTGAATCTTTCCCGGTAAGACTGATGCTACACAGATTATTAGAGATGGGTTGATCGGGATATGAGAATTAGCCTGTAAGGGCTAGAGTTAATGGGCCAAGCAGTGTTTAAAAGAATACAGTTTGTGTGTTGTTATTTCGGGGCATAAGCTAGCCAGGTGACCAGGAGCTGGGGCGGCAGGAACACAGTCCGCAGCTCCCACAACACAAGCACCTGACATGGGTGCTGGGAATAGAACTCAGGTGTTCTGAAACAGCAGCAAGTTTTCTTAAACAATGACCTAGTTCTTTCGCCCACAAAGAACTCATTTTGTACACTGCATCTAAATGAAGGGTCTAAGTTGAGCTCAGACTCTGGGTTCATGTAGGAGTATAATAGTGTTTCTGAAACTCTCAGAGCAATAAAATCTTTCCTTTTTATTATTTATTGAGAAAACCACTCAGAAGGCTTGTATACATTTTGCTTGCCTTAGGTTCTGGTTATCTAGAATAGAAACTATAAATTAATCTGTAAGAAAAGACAATGAAAGTGTCGGGGAAAAAATCTGTCCTAGTTACATGACTGCATGTTCTCAACAGCAATAAAGATGAACTCAAATAGTTTAAGAATAACAAACCCAGAAGGTCAACCATGTTTTCTGTCCTTGGACAGCCAATCATGCTTTTCAAAGCCTAACCCTGTCCCCATTACAGAAAACCTTTCCCAAAAGTCTCCTTGCAATACCCAAAGACCCGACACACTCACCTGTCACCTTCTCATGACTGTGGCAGAGTCAAACCTGAGTTTTTGGCTTCTGGAAATGGCATATTGATTCCATTCTCCCCAGCTTTATCTAACCACTTCTATCTTTTAACTGAGAGCCTATCTTGCTTCTGGAAAACATCTATGACTAAATTCTGGGGACTTTAGGTCACGCCACTTAGTTTCTTCATCAAGAACATAAAGAAAGCTCATCATAACAATAAAACACAGCAGCATTTTAAAGTCAAGTGCTTACCTTTGAATACTTCTGTAGTTCCTCGTCATCTGCAATCTGTGTGTCCAAGGTAGCTACCTACATTTACAAGAAAAATGTTTCCATGTCTGTATGAGCATAATTTAATTTCCTCCTGTTTTCTGAAATATCAGCAAACTCGGCACATTGACAACTCATCTGAAAATCTCTATCCAGTATTTCTGATATCCATAAGTATAGCACATACCAATACATTTGCTTTTCTGTCATTCTCTACATTAATATTTTCATCCTAAATTATCTGGAAGTTGAACTAAAGATGACATATAATTTGACTTCCTGTCCTTCCTCTGCATGGACTGTATTTTATTAACATCTTACAGGTGCAGGTTATCAGTAAACTACTTCTCCTTGCAAGAAATTCATTTCTACCAATGTCTACCAATAAAACTCAACTAATAACTGAACAGCACACACACAAGAAATTTATTTCTACCAATGTCTACCAATAAAACTCAACTAATATCTGAATAGCACATACATCCAACTTTTGGTATTAAGAGGTTGCTCAAGTTTTCATGAAGGTGTATTAAGTGTACATACTGACATCAGCTTTAAATTACTTTTGATATCTAATACAAAGAAAATGCGACAAAAATGTCACAATATATTGTTTAAGAATGATGATGTGAAAATAAAAGTTTGTACCTGTTCAGTTCTGATGAAAATTTCCCCAAATGTGTTTAAACTATAGTGACAAAGTGGAATCAACACATGGAGTCAAATATGAAGGTCTAACTATGTCAACTTTAAATCCCAGGATCCTCCAAATTTTAATAAAATTCTCATTATATTAGATCTGTAAAAAATTTACTGTTGGACCATCAAGATGGCTCAGCAGGGGCTGGAGAAATGAATCAGCAGTTAAGACCACTGGCTGCTTTTCCAGAAGACCTGGGTTTGATTCCCAGATCCCCACAGTGGCTCACAACCATCTGGAACTACAGCTTCCAGGGATCTGACACCATCTTCTGGCCTCTGGGGGCACAGGCACACAGGTGGTGCACATACACAGTCAGGCACTTACACAGAAAATAGATATTTTTTAGAATGACTCAGCAGGTAAACCTCTTTCTATGCAAGCCTAATGACTCGAGTTTGGTCTTTAAGACAAATGCAAAAGTGGAAGAAAACTGATCCTGAAAGCTGTCCTCCGATCTCCACATGCACAGCCACACTCGTACGCACAATTACAGTACATATTAAAAAATTTATCCTGGCACTCAGGAGGCAAAGGCAGGTAGGTCTCTGAGTTCAAGGTCAGGGCTACACAGGTAAACCCTGTCTCAAAAAACAAAAATAAAAATATTGTGCTCTTAGCTGGGCATAGTGGCACATACCTTTAATCCCAGCACTTAAGAGGCTGAGGCAGGGAGATCTCAGGGTTCAAGGCCAGCCTGGTCTACAGAGTGAATTCTAGGACTACATAGTGAGACCCTGTGGGGGCAGGGAGGATTTTTTTTTCTTTTGACAAAACTGAGAGCATTGCCTTTTTAAACTTTCAAACTCAGATCTTATATTCCATAAGTCAGTCGTGTAGACATAAATCAGGAGACGGTGGAAAAGCATCAGCAATTCAAGGTTAGCCTCTACAGTTTTAGGCTAGCTGGAGCTACATAAGATCCACTCTCAAATGAATATCCCTTCCTCCATAGAAAACAAGCAAAAATCCAGACGAGTAGATCTGAAAGAAAGCGCAATAAGGAAAGAGGAACGCATGCATCCATTCACTCATCTGCCTTACCAGGCTCCCCTTGTATGCCTAGAACGTTAGAGGAATCACTGTAAAGATCCAACTTAAAATCTCTCCTGTTTCCAGCCTCAACTTCACCATGTGATGCAAAAAAATCTGAGCTATGGAGAATAAGACTTTAACACACAACACACATCCCTCCACCACAGAGCTTTCCCCAGTATGACTGTTAGTGTAAAGCTCGCCTAGCACACACACAAAAGCCCTGAGTTTCAGTCAGGCATGATAGCTCATGTCTGTAATCCCACAACTGAGGAGGTGGAAGCAGGAGGGTCACAAGTCCCGGGTCATCCTTGGCTACGAAGTGAGCTTGAGGGCAGCCTGGACCATATGAGACCCTGCTTCAAAAGAGTGAAAATGAAAAATCCCATCATACAACCGGTGAGCCACACACTCCCTGAACAAACACAAGGATGTGTGACTTTCTAGAGAGCAGTCTAGTGACAGTGCTCTATCAAGTAGAGACTCGGCAGTTACAAGAACTAACACGCAGGCCTGGGAAGAAGAAGAAAGCGATCATGTGACTAATCTTAATGACAGACACTAAAGCAACTCTGGTGACAGTGGCCAGACATCCAAAACACAAAGTGTCCACCCAGTATTAATGACCATATACATGAGGATGTGTCAGGACTACATAATAAGACTTTGTCTCAAAACAGAAAATTTGAAATACAACAGAAATTTCATTGCCATGTTTGATGGCCGCCGATGAGAGTTTTCCAGCAGCTCCTGCTTTCCTGTGGACTCACGGGAAATGTAGCCGATGCTTTACTGGCCAAATCTAATAACTGGCGAAGGGAAGCCTAATGGCCTGCTGGCACCATAAACTCATACCTCACCTAAATTACTTCCTGTTCTTCTAAATACATTTCATAATCATTCTTTCATTTTTCTCATAAAACTGTAAGATTCTTTGTGAAACATAGGACTAATATCCACAGCCCTTTCAGTGTACAATAAAACGAACAGATCATAAAAGCAATCATAAAGATGCCAGCCATTTTAAGCAGCTGATTCAAGTTATAAATTTAAAGGCAAGCTTTCACCCTCCTAATGTTCTTCTGCCTATTGTTGACCTAAATGTCTTCAATATGATCTGAGTGTCTGTTAATTGTAACTGAAGTCTGTGTACAGTCCTTAATTGTTCTTATAGCTTAAAACGCTTTAAAAATTGATTGATTGCCCTAATAGGAAAGAAAGACAGGAAGAAAACAATAGAAGCAGCCTATGTCTTCTTTGACTCTCTCCTGTCATTTTGAATTACAGCGCTAGGAGTGTAACGTGAAATGAAACATACCATTACTTCATAATCTGGGCCCAGTAGGTTTTCCCATCTGGATTTCAGCTCATTTTCCGGAGCGCCTTGGCCTTTCTCTGGATATACATCTATAAGAAAAAGAGCAGTGAAGCTGCTGTAAGCCAAACATATTAACTAACAAATTCTTTAATAACAGCTCAGCTTCAGTAGGAAAAGAGGAAATGAGTAAAAAGGAAAATGTATTAATTTAAATCTACCTGGTAATATAGACCAAAGTGACTTATGAGAATAATACAAAATGTAAAGCCACCTGTGACAGACTTGTGAAGGAACTTTTGTTCAGAAATATCTTAAAGGTAGAGGAAGTGATGAAGTACAAGTGAATGTATAGTTTCTATGTAGTTTCCTACATATCTGGCTTAGTTTTATGTAGCTCTTACACAGAATTGCACCATTCCCTCTCTCTACAGGGAATGTAAATCTCTACAGAGCTAGCACTGTAATCAATAAGACAAGAGTGACGCAACCCAGCCAGGCTTCTGTAAGCCAGGATGGACAGAAAGGCTAAAATCTGAATTTCATCAGATAGAAATGTTAATTTCATACCAGTCTTTTGCTGCTGCTTAATTATTAGGATATTTGTACCTTTTTAATGCTCTCGATTTAATGGTGCCGTTATTACACAAGTGAGATTATTTTATAAGCACAAACATATTTGAAGTGCCAGGCCTACCCTCCGTATAATCTTCCCCAGACTCTCAGAGTAGCTAGCAGTCTGAAGAATGCCTGGCAGATAAAAGTCAAAGTACTCAAACTATCATTGCACTTACATCCGTACTAACACAGAGGATAAAAAGGTTCCACGTTTTTTAAGTTCTTCACGTCACAGAACGCTTATCACAAGTGACATAACCATCTGCCTACCGTCAAATGTAACATGCAGCATCAGCTCTTTTCATCTCTAGAGCAGCTCTTTGGCTGCACAGAATGCTTAATTACATACTACAAATCATTAAGTTAAATAGACTTACCTCAGAATCAGAGACTAAGACCAATGAACACTAAAGGACTTAAATTACTCCATTTACAAAAGAACATCCAGGAAATAACTATATTAACTGATATGCTAAATTACATTTAGGGACAGCTAATCAAAGATCCTATTAAAACAAGTATCAAAATCGTTCTGGTGGCATGCACTCCTGTGAACATTTCCTTAAGAAATTCTGAATTCTGACGGCTTGTTTCCTTCCCTTCCTTCCTTCCTTCCTTCCTTCCTTCCTTCCTTCCAATTTACTAGTGTCGGGTAGGGGGCAGGAGGAAGAGTCTACAAGCCACACACAGAGAACAACTTGTGTGGAGGTGGCTTTCTCCTTCGACCTCACGCTGGTTATAGGAACCGACCTGGGGTTTTCGGGCTTACTGCAAGTACCTTTATGCACTGCACCACCTTTCCAGCACCTTTACCAAGTTCTTTAAAAGGTTCAACAATTTACCTGTTCAGTGTCTTCCAGGTGCAGTTTCATATCTGCTAAATGAATCTGAACAAAATCTACAATGTATTGAGGGAATTCTAAGCGTACAAACATGGTAGTCAGAAGACAGAAAGTTCACCCAAGTAAAAGAAGAAGCTGATGATTCTAATCCCTTGAGGCCGTTTTTTACCTTTCAGGTAAACAATGAAAGTACAGACAGCTATGCATTTTAAAGCACAGCTCAGAGGACTATGGCTAGAGGAGGGAGGTTACTCTCCCTGCAGCAGCAGCAACAACAACAACAACAAAAAAAGCTGCACAAGAGAGTAACCATTTCGTGAGACAGAGACTAAGGTCACAGCAGCCAGGAGAGGCAGGCATACTTGCGAACTGAAATTATACCCGTGCATGAAAATATAGTGAAATTTATTTTTAAAACCCTAGCACATGCTGGGTGTGGTAATGTGAACCTTTAACCCCAACACTTGGAAGGCAGCAGCAGGCAGATCTCTGTAAAGTTGAAACCAGCCTGTGGTCTGCACAGCAAATTCCAGGTTGCGAAGGCTACATAGTGAGACCCTATCTCAAAATAAAAAATATAAAAATATTTTTTAAAAAGAACAATAACAAAAAGGCATGGGTACAGCATAGGGAAGTGGAGACAGAAACACTGTTAAGTTCTAGGCTAGCCTGAGCTATACAGTAATACCTTTTCTCAAAAATCAAACAAAATAATGACAATAGCAATGAGACACCATTTCTAAAACTACTTCTAATTTCAATTTTATCCGATTTTCACCTAGTTCTTTGATATTCATCTGAGGTCAACTAAATCAAAACAGTAACAATTGTACTCTAGTTGGATCCAAAAGGGTAGCTTCTAAATCTTTATCTTGAGTGAGGTATTACTAATACTTTCCTTTGGGCTATCTTTCCTAACGTGTATATATATATATAAAAGCCAAAAGTCAGATTCTCTGGAACATGGATGGTGCTAAATATTGTAAGGAGTTTCCCTTAGCTGGCAAAGCTTTCCGTAAGTATCTCTGTAGAAGGAACCGAGCTATGTAACTCAGTATGATTGCAGAACGCAGTCCCGATAACAGCTGACATGTCAAAATTGGAAACAATTCGAAAATTTTAAAATAAATATACTGCAGACTATCATTTGATGCAACTTACAAAAAAAACCAATGTTCACTTTTATGAAGAGGAAACACTTCTACATATAAGCAGAGACCTACAATATTTAGATGTAATACAATTGTAACACATAAGAACACATAATTAAAATGCTACATAGTTATTGTATACTATGTATATATGTATATATATATATATAAATATGCATTTGAAACACAATTAAACAAAGATTAAACAAAAATACACTTGGTGATCTATTGCCAAACGTGTTGAGATTATGTTAAGATTATAGTGAAAACACCCCATTTTATTAAAATGTAGGGGGTGTGACGTTGCGGTAGTACTAGAGATTTAACCTAGGGCCTCATATATGCTAGGCTAGCATCCTACCATAGTGGTACATCCCTAGAAAAGTATCCCACCTTAAATCTCTAAGATGTCTCTACAGCATGAGCTTCCATCAGATAGACTGCTTTTATACAGACCTCTAAATCCTCCCTGTTATTAGGATATTTGTAGCTTTGCTAAGCCTTTGGTGTAATACTACTGCGTTTACTGCATAGGTCTAAGTCTGCTTCTACAGATGCCACACCATATTAACTACCGAGAAGAAATGGTTAATAAACAAAACAGTTGAATACTCCAAAGAAAAGGTTTTTGGCCTACCTGGTTTTTCTAAGGCTTGTATGTTGTTGTTTATTAGATTATCCAGTCTTTCTCCAATTTCCTCTGCTTCTGTACCCACATTAGTTTCTGTTTCCAAGGATTCAGTTAGGGCTGGTACTTTAGGCGGTTCTGCATCAGTTCCTAAAATAAGAATTGCTGGCTTGAATCACTAGTCCTGCGGGGAAGTAGGGTGGCACAATCAAATGAGCTTATTTCACTCCCACTCACCCTTTGCGGGACCTCAGTGCAGGTAACTCCTATAATACTAAAGTTTTCTGTTAAGTGACTAACTCTAAAAAATAACTTGATAGTATTTAAAGCATGAAGAAATACAGAAAATGAAAGTGAAAAGCAAGGTTAAGTCCATTACAAAAGTGAAATGGATTTCTTACAATATAGTTTTAGAAGGAAAAAAAGAAAGAAGAAAAAGAAAACAACAACAATGAGAAGGCTGTATGTGCTTGCTGTTGTGGACAGGTACAGAGCAACATGTGTGAATAGGCTGGACCAACCATCAAACACATGTGGAAAGCCAAAACAGCAACCTCAGAGACCATGAGGGGGAGAACTCCCATGGATGCAGATGGCTCTTCTCCTTTTCTTCAGATGAGACAAAGTTAAGCAACATTACCAGCAAGTCACTTAGTATCTCTAAACAGAAGACACACAGCACAAGTGACAATTTGGAGGGTTTTTCTTTCTTTTTTTCTTTTTTTTTCTTTTTGTTTTTCAGGACAGAATTTCTCTGTAGCTTTGGAGCCTGTCGTAGAACTAGTTCTTGTAGACCAGGCTGGCCTTGAACTCACAGAGATCCACCTCCCTCCGCCACCACCACTCAGCTGGAGGGTTTCATTTTATTAAAAGTAATTCCTCATCATTTTAAAAGAATTTTTAAAATATTAATATATATTTTAAATGTATACGAGTGTTTTGCCTTCGGGTGCACATAAATACATTAAGTATGGGGCCTGCTCACTGCAGAGGACAGAAGAGGGTGTCAGATCACTTGGAATCAGAATTAATGGTTGGTTATGAGCCTTCATGAGGGTGCTGCAAACAAAATCTGGGCCCTCTAAGAGCAGCAAATGTTCTTAACCACTGAGCCATGGCTCCAGCTCTTTGTAAAAGAATTTTTATTAAAAGTACAAGGCTACAAAGAAATAATCAAAATTCAGGTTGTGGCATTTCAGTGTGTAGTAGACAAATCTCTTCAGAAAAAAAACATTGAGCAGGGATGAGGAAGGACTTCCATATTCAGAAGCCATACAGTTACAACACAAGGGATGCATGATTTAGGAAGGATTTTAAAAGGGAGGAGTCAGGAAGAGAATATAGGAAGAAAAAATACAGAAGATATTTTAGGGTAACTGGGAAATGTGTATGTGTTGCCTGTCTCTCTCTTTCTTGATGTGCACATATATGTGTATGCTGGCGTGCATGCACAGAGACCTAAGGAGACCTTCAAGTGTCTGTGTCACCCTCCACCTTATTTTTTTGAGATGGGATCTCTCTTTGAACCTGGAGCTAGGCTGGCAGTCAGCAAACCCCAGCACTCCTCCTGCCTCCAGCCCTCACAGTGTTGGGTTTACAGGAGCAATGGGCAGCCATGCTCAGCTTTTGCATAGATTCTGAGCATTTGAATTCAGGTCTTCATCTTACAAAGCAAGCATTCTTACCTTCTTATCCACAAAGCAATCTCCCCGGCACTACAAACTGAGAAATCATATATATACAAAGTATCTGATATTTAATATCAGTAGTCCTTCTCTTTGTTGTGATAATAGCATGATTGCTTAAGAAAATATTCATATTTTCATGATGCTGACACCATTCACTCAAAAGTGGTTTAAAAGGAATATAGGGAGATGGTGACTGTCAGATCAAAGTGGAAAGTAACTGGGTGTTCGTTCTGTTCTGTTTTTCTATATGCTTGATATGTTTGGGGTTTTTTGGTTTGTTTTTTTTTAATTTTTGTTTCTGTTTTTTTGAGACAGGGTTTCTCTGTAGCTTTGGAACCTGTCCTGGAACTAGCTCTTGTAGACTAGGTTGGCCTTGAACTCACAAAGATCTGCCTACCTCTATCTACTGAGTGCTGGAATTAAAGGTGTGCCCCACCACCGCCTGGCTTGCTTGAAATGTTTTAACAACAAAAAGAGTTCAAACATACAACCAATTAAACTCCTATCACTGTAACATGAGACTTTAAAACCACTCACATAGTATTTTTTTAGATCATTAATCAACTGATGTCATAAAGAAATGCATACATAGTAGTAGGATAAGAAATGCCAATCATTAATTGAGGCATTATTTATTTATAATAACCAAGATAAGGAAACAGCTTCCGTGAATACTTGGCATAAATACATAAATAAAATGTGTATATATAAAAATAATTAATATTGTTGATTCTTTAAAAAGGAAATCTAGCCAGTTGTTAGAGCCTAGATGAGCCCGGAGGACACTGTGAAGTAAAGTCAGCTCAGCAGAGAAGGATAAATACTGCAGAGCTCTACCTACTTGAGCTATCTGCACAGTCAAACTCAAAGAAACAGTAAAATGGCAGCTGACAAGAGGGGAGAGTTAACAACATGAAGTTTCGATCACAGAAGATAGAAAAGGTCTATGGAGAAGCTAGTCAATAATGTGCACAAAGTTAACAACAGAGATTCTTTTCTTTATCTTTAAGGCAGGATTGCACTATGCAATACATAATAAGTTCTAGACCAGGCTGGCCTTGAACTCATAGCAATCCACCTGCCTTTCCGAGTGCTGAGACAGAAGGTATGGCCCTCAGAAACAAAGAGAAGGTGAATCTAGAGTGTGAACTGATGGGATTTAGAACCAATCAGAAAGGAATCTCTGGTCATTCCTGTGACAGCTCATCTAGATTAGGGTGACTGAGGGTGACCTCACTCTACCTGATGAGATCCTGAACTGAACAAAAGGAGAAAGTATGTCGAATACTGACATCCTTCACCCTATTTCCTAACTAGAGATGCTCTGCGACTAGCTAATGTCTCACTCCCGTGACCATACCTTCCCCGCCATGACGAACAGTGTCTGTTGAACTATAGGCCAGAACTAATCCTTCCTTCCTTTCTTAAAATGTTTCTTGGTAAGTATTTGGTCATGGCAATGAGAAAAGCAATTAATGTAATAATAACTTTTTTCATTTTAGATTTATTTCTTTTATTTTATGTGTATGACTATTTTGACCATGTACATGCCTGGTACCTGGAGAGATCAGAAAAGAACATTTTGATCCCTTGGAACTTAAGTTTATTTGCTGCGGGGGGGGGGGGGGTTGTGTTCCTGTTGTTTTGTTTTATTGGGTTCTTTGTTTTGTTTTTGTTATTTTTTTTTAGAAGTCCTCATTATTTAACTCTTACTGCTCTGGAACTTACTATGTACATCAGGGAGGTCAGGGTGGACTTGACTCACAGAGATTTGCCTCTCTCTCCTCAGTATTGGGATTAAAGATATGCATCCCCACCAAACCTGATGAAACTGATATTAATAATAGTTTCTTTTTAAGTGCCAATCAGAGGAGCCGGAAAGATGCTCAGTAGTCTAGAGCACGGGCTGCTCTTCCAGAGGACCTAGGTTCCATTCCGAGCACCCACATGGCAGCTAAAAACTGTAATTCCACTCCCGAGGGATCTGATGCCCTCTTCTGGCCTTCAGAGGCACCAGGCACAAATGTAGTGTACAGAATGCTACAAACAAAAAAACTCAAATTAACAGAATATTTTTTAAATTATAAAATGACAATCAGAGCTCCTGAGGAATACAGACATGTACCATGAGAACTTTAGTAACATATCATAGTGTGATTGTATGCTAAAGACCCAAATACTGGCCAGCAAGAAGGCTCAGACAGTAAAGGCTCATGCTGCCAACACAGATGATCTTAGCTCAATTTCCAGAACCCATATGGTAGAGAGAGAAAACTGTCTCCTAAAAGATGTCCTCTGATATTCACAAATTATATATTTTTACACAATGAAGACTTTCTATTTTCTAACCTTATCGACAAAAAAAATACCATTTAAAAAGATGTTCTTGAAAAAAATTTCTATTTTATCTTTTCACCATGCTTCAAATGACAAATCAAGAGAAAAATAGAGTAAAACACATCATAAAAACAATCTGGGACGTGAAGCTTGAGAAATATCAAGGTGTAAGCAAATGAAGGATCCTAGATCAAAACAGTGATTTCCGTCACCTTTCGAGGCAATCAGTGCTTGCATCCTGTCATGTGGGCTGGTGCACCCCAGCAGGTCAGGGAAAAGACTGCAAAGGAGACCAGCTGACTCATTTCCCCATCACGCCATTACATATTTCCTACTCACACCTTTGCCATTCTTCCAAACTCAGCTCCATGGAGAGGAGAAGGATGGGAGCAGGAATTACCTCTGTCTGAAGGCTGTTCAAATGGAGAATCTGATGAAGATGCTTTCCTGCGAACTAAGGTTAGGTGCACCACCTGCCCTGCATTTCGTAATACTTCAACAACATCCTGGTTGGCAAAACCCTGAATATTCACACCATCCACCTATGACATCAAGAGAAAGAAGAGAGTTTCAACCAAACCATCACCATTTTTGTTTTGAAAGAAGGTCTCACTATGTAGCAAAGAGAGACTAACTCAGTACACAGCCCAAGCTGGCCTCAGATTTAGTATTTCTCTTGCCTCAGCCTCTTGAGCGCTGTCTAGAGGTGTCTGAGACATCATGCCCATCAACTATTCCCATTTTTAACTTTGGCAGTGCTGAATAAAATGGGGTAACTAATTTTTCTTCCCAAATACTTTATGCAGTATCAGAAAGTATTTTTGAATAAAAATATAAAATTAGTTTTGTTGACAAATTTACATGCAAATAAAATAAATTCCAACACATACACACACATATATTGTTTGTTTGTTTTTTGGGTTTTTGTTTTGTTTTGTTTTTCAAGACAGGGTTTCTCTGTAGCTTTGGAGCCTTTCCTGGAACTTGCTCTGTAGAACAGGCTGGCCTTGAACTCAGAGATCCACATGTCTCTACCCATGAGGTCTATGTACCCAATGATACATACAGACTCTTAAAGAGTACTTTATAGAGAATATGGAAACACCTTTCAGATACATTTCTATGCATACATTTATTTAAGTGTGTAATTTTCCCCACCAATATGTTTAGTAGAATATCTCCTCTTTGACAGGAATAAATCATATTTAGAGTCTAAAATCATATAAGAGTCTGAATCAAATACAATTTCACTGCAATAGTAAAGCTAATTTTTTAATACCTTATGAGCTGGGTATGGTGGAGCACGTGTTAAATCCCAGCACTTGAGAGGCAGGTGGACCTCTAAATTCAAGGACAGCCAGGTCTACAAACTGAGCTCTAGGCCAGCCAAGGCTATATAGTGACATCCTGTGCCAAAAAACAACAAACCTTAAAATTAAAATAAAACTAAAATTACAAAATTAAACTAAGCCATCTTCTTCTCTTGAATATGATAGAAAGACCAACCATCCTCCCTCCATCTTGATTCAAACGTACAAGAGAAAGCCATTACTTACAGCCACTATTTTGTCATTCACTTGAATTTGGCCATTGTGGTACGCAGCACTACCTGGTATTATACTTTTCACATAAATCCCTGAAGCTTCCCCTGAAAGTGCACAGACATACAGAAAAAAAGGAAGAAAGCTAAAATTAGGACCTGATTGCAAAATTCTTATCAAGAGGTTAATTAGCTAAAGAGGCTGACTAGAGACTTCGTAAATACTATTTTGAACACATGCAGGGAAATTGATGGATTATTTCAAACTGTCACCATCACAAGTGACCTGAATTCAAAATGATTTGACTGATGACTACCCTTCTGGAGAAATAATCAGTAATGGAACCTTGATGAATGCCTTTCTCTCTAAGCTGGGATTCTGGGGAGCTAGGACAAACCCTGGTCTATCTCTACTTGAACTGCTAACTCAGCGCAAGCTCTCATCATTTTTCACTAGCATCAAGACAAGAGTCACACATATCCCTCCTATATTTAAGTTGAGTGCTGATGTGTATCATCCAGATACAAAGAAAACCACATGTGGTCCTTTAAAAAAGCTAGCATGGGCCAGCAAGATGGCCTGGCGCCCTGAGTTCAATCCTAGGAGCACACATAGAGCTGGAAACAATCAGCTTCACAAAGTGGCCCTGTGACCTTTACAGGAACCCCAGGACAGGCACACACATCCCTATACACATAGAATAATAATTTTAAAAATTAGAATGAGCTCAGCAGCACAAGATAATCCTCATACTATAAAATTAAATATTTAACAACAAACAGCTATAAAAATTATAAACATATAAAAAGTAACATTCCCAAGAGAAAGAACTACAAGGAAAATGGTTTAAGTATAAAACTGTATCTCTTAATGGTATTACTAAGCTCCCACTGCTAGCATAATTATATAAACTTTACTGAATCATATCCCAGATCATCCGTATCAGTAAAAATAATTTATATTTCTGCAGATGGCCATGGGGGTATACAGCAGGTAACAACTAGCATTCAGCAGGTCGACCCACCAGACAAATGACTCTCTGTTGGGGAGCCACACAAGGAAAAGTCCATGGGTCACTGACGGTGGAAACCAGTTGCTACCGTCTGTAATTTCTCTCATGTGCCACTTCATTTTTTTCCCTAAGAACTGCTATGGGTATATTGCCATTGCTTGTATGTTTATCTCGTGAAAATATTTCAGCTATTGGGCACTCATATAGCTGTGGATGGTCAGGAAGATGATTTCTACTTAATTGTGTAATTATGATGAATAGATATAACACTAGGCTATTTTTCATTATTCAGACTGACACAGCCGGGCGGTGGTGGCGCATGCCTTTAATCCCAGCACTCGGGAGGCGGAGGCAGGTGGATCTCTGTGAGTTTGAGGCCAGCCTGGTCTACAAGAGCTAGTTCCAGGACAGGAACCAAAAGCTACGGAGAAACCCTGTCTCAAAAAATCCAAAAAAAAAAAAAAAAAAACAGACTGACACAGGAGAGTAATAGTTTTCTCAGTCACAAAGTCAAATAATTTTAGACTTCCAAACATATTCAAAACAATCCGGTTGCCCCTGGAGACAAATACCTGGTTGCTCCTAGAGACAAATACACATGGACAAATTCCCAAGTCTTGTTTATTGCTGACTCAAGGTCAGGCTAGAAGCAACATTAGTAGACATATCTTTCTCAGCAACTGACTTTTTGCATGTAGTTCCAGCCTCAGTTTATGTTATGGGCTCAAGGTTCAGTCTGAGAACCTGAACTATTTAGGCTATGTGCATGGCTGGTCAATGTGGCATCCCAAGCCTAAGAGAAACTTGTGTGACTTATCTTGTTTTTTGAGAATGGGTCAGGCCCTGAAAATGTAACATATAATTGTCCATAGTTTGGCTGAGGATAGGAGGCTGTGTGGAGCTCTGAAGAAGGTGATGGGAGAAAAGGGGTGGAGAGATGTGCAGGCTGTGCAGTTAGAGAGAAGCTTCTGAGCAGAGCAATAAGGAGGGATGCAGAGCTGATTAGGCTGCTGTGGAGAGCTATGTAGAGGAACAAGAGAGATGTTCAGAGGATCTTTTTTCAAAATGAAGTAAAAGAGAAAGCTACCATCAGAAAGTGTGAGTTTGCTTATTTCTTCCCCTTAGACAGAAAAAGTCTAACCCTCAGATAGACAAGAACTTTTCCTAAGCCCTCACCATATCAGTGGATTTTTTTTTTTTTTTTTTGCATAGCATGGGTGCTGACTAGAGGCTGGCCTCATCAGTTAGCCATATATTTCAATATCATCTTCCACATATTCCTTCTACAAGGCATGACACGCAGACTAACATTGCACTAAGTACCAATAGCTTTCCTGACTCTACAGGTTTCTTCTTCCCTATCTAATCCTCCTTCCCCATTGCCCAAATGCTTCTTTCTCAAGTCTCCTCTCAACTTCAGTCTTGCATCTGCCATGCTAGAACAGTGCTTGCCTCTTTACTAAAACATGTATTTCCAGTTATCTTTAAACATTTAAAGGGTTTTACACTTTAATTACATTCCCTGAATAGATTCTTTGGTTTGTTTTGGTTTCTAAGATTAAGTTTCTCTGTGTTGCCCAAGCTGGCCTTAAACTTGTGAGCTCAAACGACCCTTCCTACTCAGCTGCTGAAGTGACTAAGATTACAGGAGAATGCCATCATGCCTGGGGGTGCCTCCATGCCTGCTCAAACCCCAGCACAAAAATCAAAGACCAAAAATAAATGGAATAAAGTGTTTTTTAAAGCTGTCGACATTTCAAATGTCTCCTTTTTTCTCATCCTCTTAAAACAACCCAAGCCCACACGTTTTGAGAGTAAATACGTAAAAAGATTCTTCTCTGTACTCAATAACACAAACATCAAATTTTCTCTCATTCACTAATTTTTCCTTAGACACTGAGGCATAAGTTTAGGAACTCAGTCACTACTCAACTTTAACAAGATAAAAGACAATGAAAACAATTCAGTATGTTTTCTGCAACATTATTTTTTAAATACATACTTAGCTTTTAAAGGACTTATTTAAATTCTGAAGCTAAAAAGTGTGGCACGTAGAAAAATCAGAAGTTTTGAAATTAGATATTTCATTAGGCTGAAATAGCACAAAGTGGTCTGCCATGAATTTCATTCAGGCCTGTGAATACATTAGCACTCTTAATCTCTCCACCTGCTCCCATGCATGGTGACAGTTTTTTTTAGGGAAATAACTTTCTACTTGCTATTTTTCAGAAAAACTAAAATACTTCATAGCTAAATTCTCATGTAACTGCCAACTATTTTTAAAGGTTTATTTTTACTTAACTAGTAATTCTTCAATAACCAAGGGAAAACTAACAGTGAAAGTTACTGCTAACTTTCTGGTTACATTTGAGGAAAAAAAATTAGCCAGTTACTTGAATCATGTATTCTTGCAATGTACTCCCCATATATGAAAGAAAATAGTTCTAATGAAATACTTTTCTATCTTATTTTTTTCATGATTAAACACAAATATATTTTGGGTATTTACAATATACAATATACAGTAGTCAATTTACTTTATCCCAGACACATACTGTATATCTTAACAGTCGCACAATATTCAAAACAGAACTAGAGAAAAGTAAAGTTCCAATGTTACAAAATAGACTATACATTAAATTCCTTTGTTATTAACTATAAAGCCAGCTGTTAAACTATTGAGGCAAAATGTGACTCACTGACAAGAAACTGCTTGCTATTCTAGATTCATAGTTTTATTGTTTGAGTTTTAAATTAAATTCTGTGGGTACTTAATTTTATTATCTAGACATCTTAACATCCTTTATAATTATCCAAAATATGAAGTAGGAATGATTCATTTACCTGGATGAGCTGCTCCAACATAGCCAACAATTCTAATACCAAGACTCTGTCCATCTTTTTTAACAAGTTCAACATTGTAAGTTTCAAAAAGAGAACAGTCCTGCAGAGAAATAAAGCACCCATTGTTACATTTTAAGTTGTATAAATGTATACATACTCAATCTGTGTACCCAGTTTTTTCTGAGACCAACTGAATTAAGAGGGTCCCCATGATTTCTCATCCTTGAACCTGCCCCTGTAAAGGGAGATTACTCAAGTGGGCCTAATGTAATCAAAGAAGCCCCTTATAAGCAGAGTTTTCTTCTACTGGTAAGCGAGGGCAAAGAAAAAGATTTGAAACATACAAGATCAACTAGTTGTTTGAAGGTGGAGGGGTCATACAAGAAAGATGGGAATAAGAGGACCATAGGGCTTGAAAGATGTTCTGGCTGGAGGGCAACAAAGAAAAGGCCCTCCGTCTTATAGCCAAGAATTGCATTCCTCCACCAACTTGAATGAGTTCATCAGCCCAGGATATCAAGAAGGGAGCTCAGATAAATATCTCCACTTACCCTTCTAAGAATCTAAGCAGAAAACCCAGCTAAGCCCACTCTGATTCTGACCTATAGAACTGAAACTAACCAAAGGTATTGTCCTCAGCTGCTAAATCTGTAACAACTTATAACAATAGAAAATTAATACAGACATTTGGAAAAACCTGAAGCTGTATTTTCTGAAAGAATCACAAGCCTAACAAAAAATTTAGAAGCCAAGGGGAAGCTAGTTATTATATATATATATATATATATATTAAAACTGGCTCTAAAACTTTAATACTTTTTTTTTTGTTTGTTTGGTTTTTCGAGACAGGGTTTCTCTGTGGTTTTGGAGCCTGTCCTGGAACTAGCTCTTGTAGACCAGGCTGGTCTCGAACTCACAGAGATCCGCCTGCCTCTGCCTCCCGAGTGCTGGGATTAAAGGCGTGCGCCACCACCGCCCCGCTCTAAAACTTTAATACTTTCATCTAAAAGGGATAAGGTATCTAAACACCAGCACTGTTTTCAAGCCCAAACATCAGCATCAGAAACTAACCACACACATCAGAGAGCCTTGTGGACTGGATAAAAAGACTTCAGTGAGCATGAGTAAAGATGGGAACTGAAATCAATTAGCACCGCAACCTGGAGAAACTAAACAAAGTGCTAACATCATAGATATAAAATCCTGTCCACTGGGCAGTGGTGGTGCACACCTTTAATCACAGCACTGAGGGGCAGAGGCAGGCAGATCTCAGTGAGTTTGAGGCCAGCCTGATCTAAAAAGTAAGTTCCAGGACAGCCAAGACTGTTACAAAGAGAAACCCTGTCTTGAAAAACAAAAACAAAAATCAGAAAACAAAATTCCTTTTCTTTAGTTCCCAGGAAATGATTCTCTGAAGATAAGTGCTAGCCTTCTGCTTGTTCTAACAGAGTCTCCTTCTCTTCCCGTCTCTTCATGCTTTTATTCATGGGGAGGAGAAACTGGGAGACAGTTCAGTCAGCAAGGCACTTGCTGTATAAATGTGAGGAACAAAGTTCAGAACCCTAGCAGCAGATGTTAAAAGCCAGGCATGGTTGCATATACCAACCAGTATTCTCAATACTAGGGAGACAGACAGGATTCAGGGGCTTGCTGGCCATCCAGTTTGGTTGAAATGACAAGCTCAACTTTGTGAGAAGACTCTGTCTCAAAAGTAAGGTAGAGAGTAATAGTGGAATACAATGATTTCTGGCTTCAAGGCAAATATGTGTGCATGTACTTGCACACATGCACGTATGCATGTACACACCACACCAAAAAGAGGAAGAGAGAGAAACAGACATGTCTAATATTCATCATGAGTTCTCTCTGCTTTAAATATGAACACTGAAGTGTGACTTATACTACTATGGTCACCCAGCTGAGAGAATTTCTCATCTTGCATTGAATCACAGGTAGCATTTGATATAAGAAGAATGGTTTTTATACTCACAGAACCAAGGGTCCTGTTGGCTATAGTAGGCAGGGCAACAGGTAAGGATACAGGTGTAGGAGGTGTCACTGCAATTTGACCAACAGGGTCTCTGGCCACCAACATCCTCACTGAATTCCCACAGTTCCTTAGCACCTGAGCAACTTGTTCACTGGTCATCCCTTGCACATTTGTACCACCAATCTTCAAGATGTGGTCCCCTGTCTGTAGTCTCCCATCCTTTGGTGCAAGAAAGAAAAACAAGTTATTCAGAGAAATCTATGATTTAGCTTAATTGCTTAATAAAAATACATCAGACTTTCATTTCTGGCAAAAAGACTGACGAAGCCACTTCAAATGCTGGACAAACCATTTCTAATGATCTACTCAGCTGACAAAAGATAAAGCAATTACTTGTAGAACACAAAGATGGAAGGGTCCAAAATGAAATGAGTAATCAGACCTCTAGAATGGGTCTCTGCTGGAGGGTTTTTAATGTACATCTAATAGCTTAGAGCCAGAATATAATGACCACGTAGGTAAGAAAGAAATCAAAAGCTTAGGATGTCCACGACAGTCAGACATTCTGCAGGATACAGAAGAAAGTGACAGACAAACTGCCAATAGAGCTGAAACAATCTTCCAAATTTCCTGCTTCATGGAAAAGTCTGCTGGATACTATGGGCCTGTAGGCGGAAGATGGATGCCCCAACATTACAGAAGAACTTTGGGTGACTGTCCAGGCAGCAAGATGTCTCTGTCAATTCTAAAGTTTTGGGAGTTGCTTACAATACACTTCCTGTTAACTTAGGTAACATTATATCCTTCTGGGGTCTTTGATGGAGTTGAAAAATAAATAGTTATAATTAAAATTTTCCTTAGTTATGATAAAAAATAAAGTAGACATAAATATTTTAACTGTAATTCTTGCTTGATACCTGTTTTGTTATATGTAATTTTACTATGTTAAAGTTAAAACCTTCCTTTTTATTTAAACAGAAAAGGGGAGATAATGTGGGATTCCCTTCTGTATGCTATGAATATGCTTTATTACCATTGGTTATTAAAGAAGCTGTTTTGGCCAGTGGCTTAGTAGAGTAAAACCAGGTGGAAAATCTGAACAGAGATATAGAGAGAATGTAGGCGGAGCCAGGGAGACGCCATGCAGCTGCTGAAGGAGAAAGACACCAGCCACCAGCCAGAAAATGGTAGGCCACAGCCTTGTGGCGATACACAAAATAATAGAAATGAGTTAACTTAAGATGTAAGAGTTAGCTAGAAATATGCCTAAGCTATTGGCCAAACAGTATTGTAATTAATATAGTTTCTATGTTATTATTGGGGTATGGGCAGCCAGGAAACGAACAAGCAGTCTCTACCTACAGAGGACGGGAATAAAAACTAGCTGCCTTTCTACTTTAATAATGGTGATATTCTGTTTCTACCCACATAATACTCAGCTAAAATAAATACCTACTTAAGGGGTATCCAGGGGCCTAGAAGATGTGGCACAAGCCTTGGCAATCTGAGTTTGCTACCTGGGACCCACATAGTAAACTGGATATGGTGGCCTATACTCCTAATTCCAGCACTCCTTAGAGTGAAAGCTTTCTCTCTCTCTCTCTCTCTCTCTCTCTCTCTCTCTCTCTCTCTCTCACACACACACACACACACACACACACACACACTAAAAATTTTCAAAGTTGCTGGGTGGTGGTGGCACACACCTTTAATCCCAGCACTTGGGAGGCAGAGGCAGGCGGATCTCAGTTTGAGGCCAGCCTGATCTACAGAGTTGAGTTCTAGGATGGTCAGGACTGTTTCACAGAGAGACCCTGTCTTGAAAAAACAAAGAAACAAAAATTTCAAAGTAACAAAAATTTTAAAATAATGAGAGCTTCAGGAGCCCTGATGAAAATGGGCAAAGCTGCCTTGGAGTTGGACCATCAGGAACAGAACTGGGGCCTGGTCAAATAATAAAGAATATTAGCTGGGCAAACAAAGAACACGACACCATCAAGTATATATTTAGTCACTTCCCAGAAACTATTTTTTTTCCCTATTTTACTTCAACTCTTAATTTAAAATCATGTAGATAATTTGCATCTGTCACCGAGAGTCAAACATTTTCTCCTTACAGAAAAACAGGTGTTCTAAGGAATTAGTGAGTGCAAAAATAGCCGTCAGATTGATATGAACGATGCCGAAATGGCAGCTGCTTTATCTTATCCAGCAGCCCCAAACCTGTATTTCACTGATAGTCTCACCATTCTCTTTCCATAAAGTACCTATGGATCACCTCGTTCTTTAAGTCACAAATCAATGAAAGTTGATCAAGAGTTGTGCAACACCTGAGCACACAATATGCTGTGCTGTAGCCAGCAAAGCCTTGACATTGAGATCCTCCTGCCTCAGCCACTGAGTAGTTGCACTTCAAGAACAAAAACAAAACAACTTTTGAAAACATTTCAATGCCTTTGCAAAAGTAAAATAAAATGATCTAAAGAAGGATGGCATGGTAGAGTTTGAAACCTCCCTAGTCTACAGAGTGAATTCCAGGACAGTCAGGACTAATCAGAGAAACCCTGCTTCAAAAAAAAAATACATAAATAAAAATAAAAAATAAAGAACCCCCCCCCCAAAAAAAAACCCAACAAAACAAATGGCCGGGGCACTGTGGTAGCCCACGTGTGACTCAGTTTCCGTCTGGAGTCAATTCTGACCTAAAAAGTCATTTGAGCTCAAGCTCGCCTGCTCTTCTTGCTCCAGTATCCTTGAGGGTTGTGAGAAAGTTTTGATTAAGCCCATGGAAAAAAGCATTTTGCCCATGAAAAAAAGAACACACTATCTAGCAGAAAGAATATTGCTGACACCAAACCTTAGGAACATCGAGATAGAAAGTTAAAACTGCTTGCAAGCAGCAGGCGCATGACAGACAGGAGTCTGCTTCCTCAAGGACAGGAATGACCGGTGGTTAGATACTGACTGACAGTGCTGTGTTTTGTTCTGTTTTTGTATATAAGCAGGTTCTGAAACAAACTCTGGACTGTGCAGCATAAACTGGCAGTCTCCTGAATCTACCCCGTGTTTCCTATCTGCATTTCTTTCAGTCTGACATTTCCTTAATCCTCATGCCTCTACCCAAATATCCCCAGCTGATTTTGTTGGAGCAAGCTTCAACAGGGCAGTGATGGCACAACACCTTTAATCCCAGCACTCAGGAGGCAGAGGCAGGCAAATCTCTGAGGCCAGCCTGCTCTAGAGAATGAGTTCCAGGAGGGCCAGGGTTACAGAAAAACCGTCTCGAAAAAAAAAAAATCAAAAAAGCAAACAAAAGAAGTCCTTTAAAAGATGTGTTTAATGCTGTGAATACTGGAGAATATCTGAGAATTACTGACAGACAGACCTTTTCTCTCTCTCAACCCAAATTTATATATTTCCCTATCCATACATTAACTGACATGTAAACCAGACATTATGACTTACATCTGTAATACCAGAACTCAGAACGCTGAGACAAAAACTTTACCCTGGATCTAAAGCTAGTCTAGCCTATAAAGTACAGTTCATAGCCAACCTAGGCTACAGAGTGACATCCTGTCTTTACAAGAAAAATTAAGTAAGTTAAAAGATAAATTGATTTTTATCAAACTTTGAAAAACAATATACATGGGCTGAAAAGATGACTCATACCCACATGGTGGCTCACAGCATTCAGGAATTCCAATTCCAGAGGATCGGATACCTTCTTTTGGCCTCTGTTGGGTACTGCATGTATAAGGTGCACACACATACAGCACCAAAACACACAAAATAAAAATAAATCTTTAAATTTTCTATTTTACTTACTTTCTACAATAAACAGCAGCTGGACAAGAAAGAGCTTTAAAGTCTGATAAACCCAAGTTGGTCTGATGTTCATCATACCTAGCTCAGAGATCCCTCTTATGCAAAAGCGAAAATAAATTTCTGTCTTGAGGAATTCTGAGCATTAAATTTAGTATCATATGTACAAGGCTCCCTGGCAGGAATTGCATACAATTCCTGTGTGTGTGTGTGTGTGTGTGTGTGTGTGTGTGTGTGTGTGTATGAAAGAGAGAGAGAGAGAGAGAGAGAATGCAAATAGGCATGTGTGTGTGTGTGTGTGCTCCCTGGCAGGAATTGCATACAATTCTCTCTCTCTCTGTGTGTGTGTGTGTGTGTGTGTGTGTGTGTGTGTGTATGAAAGAGAGAAAGAGAGAGAGAGAGAGAGAGAGAGAGAGAGAGAGAGAGAATGCAAATAGGCGTGTGTGTGTGTGTGCCCAAGGAGGCTAGAAAGGGTTACCTAATCCCTTGGAGCTGGAGCTACAGGCATGTATAAACTGTCCAATGTGGGTGCTGGGATCTGAAGTCTGGTCCTCATGAGTGAGCAGTAAGTGCTATGCCATCTCTCCAGTATATTTCCACCCAGTTTTTGAGTTACTTTGCAACTCTCTTCCCTTTCAGAGAGGATCTCTGGGATGGCTCATCTTCCTTGCCAATTTGACTTAATTTGGAATTACCTAGGAGACATAGTTCTGGGAATGTCTGTGAGGGTGTTTCCAGAGAGATATAAGGAAGACCCGCTGGATGTAAATGGCACTATCCCATAGCCAGGGTCCTGCACTGAATAACCTGGAGAAAGTCAGCTGAGCACCAGCATTCCCGGCTCTTTGCTTTCTAGTCTATCCAGATAGAAGGAGTCCTAGCTAAATGTTCACAGCACCATGAACTCTGCCATGCCTTCTTCCATCATGATGGTATTTGTTGATAACAATGGGAAAAGTAGCTAATGCACTAGCTTAGGATGTAGGCGTGCTGAGAGAACACATTCAAGACTACATAATAAGACTGGGTGCTAGGGTGCTACAGGATGGTTACAGCAAGAGGAATTGGAAGATTTTATCTGGCATTAGCAGGAATAAGAGGAGTAGCTCTGTCACTCTCTAGCTGTACAACCTTGGACAATTTCTTAAAGTTTCCATACCTATGATTTGGAAATAAAACTTAAGACTGTTTTGAGGATTACATTAAAATGATGTATATTAGGCAGATGACAATATTTGGCACAAGCTCCTGCTTCGCCATTACAAATCTGTGATGGACAGGCCCCCTAGCCCCTCCTAGATGATCTGAAACAGTGACGATCCCTTCCAGGAAAGGGTGAGAATCAGACTTGGGCTTTTCCCAACAGTGCCTCAATGGGATTAATCTGGGAAACTCTGCACATCACGGTGTCCTTGTGAAAACTCATAACACACATTAGTATATTAAAAAGCTCAGAAAATTCTTACAGTAAAGGAACTTATTTGATTTCACTTAAATTTATTTGGTTCTTTGTTTTTCAAAATTACTGCTGCACTTTGCAATGTCATTCCATCTAGCAAAGCCTACCAAAATTTCTAGGGTGAAGGGGAGGGGAGAGAGAGACAAAAGAATCTTCTATAATGTCTTATTCCTTTTAGGTTAAAAAAATAAACAATTTTAAAATTTATTTTATTTCGCAGAATGGAAAATGGTTCAACAGTTGAGGATGCTTGTTGCACATTCCTGAGGACTGGAGTTCAAACCTCAGCACCCATGCAATATAGCCCAGTATCCTTCCAATGCCTGTTACCCCAACTTCTGGGACCCACACCCTCTTCTGTCTTCCATGCTCAGACTCTAACATACAGTGTGCTATACACACACACACACACACACACACACAAAGTATTTGTTTAATATTTTCTGTTTTATGTGTAGTAGTGTTTTGCCTACATGTATGTATGTGCACCACATGCTTGCCTCGTGTCTCCAGATGTCAGAAGAGGGTATTGGATCCCCAGCGCTCTCAAAAACTGAGCCATTTTCCCACCATCCACTATAGGTATGGTTTAAAAACACACACACAATGATCATTCCCATTCTAGTCACACACGTGTGTTGTGTGTGGCATATTACGTGTATGGTATGTATATGTATACTCAGGTGCATACATCTTTGCATGTGTGTGGGGAGCTGAAGAGCTCTTGGGTATCCTGCTCTATCACTCTTTATCTTCTTACCCTGAAACACAACCCCTCACTGAACGTGGAGATAGTCTGTCAGGCAGCAAGCCCTGCAGCCTCTCATCTCCTTCCCCATAGCACAGTGTCAGGCAAAGAAAGCCACACCCACCTGGCTTTTTACATGGGTTCTGGGGATTTGAACTCAGGTCCTCTTGTTTGCAGAGAAAGCATTCTTACCTACTAGGCCACCTCTCTAGTCCTCAAAGCACATTTATATTCAAAAGAAATTTTAAAGTCAGGGAGGAAGTACAAAAAGCTTAAGATGAGCGAAATAATCACTATCTTTCTGCTGGTTTTCTCAAATTTTTGAACAATGTATATTTTAAATAAGTTTTTTAGATTTATTTTACTTTAAGTGTATGAGTGTTTTGCCTGCATGTATGTATGTGCAATACATGTGCTTGCGGAGTCAGAAGAGGGTGTTGAATTCCCTGGAACTTAAGTTATAGATGGTTATGAACCACCATGTGAATGCTGGGAGCACAACTCAGGTTCTCTACAACAAGTGGTCTTAACCACTTGGACATTTCTCCCACCCTTACCCCCCATATTTTTTAATGGCTAATTCACTCAAGTGCTTTAAAACAATCAAGCACGACTCCTCACACATACACTGAGAGGTCAAAGTTTACTGACAATCATTTTTATTGCACCACATAGTGAATTTGACAGCTGTAACGAGTCTGGGGCCCCTGTCTTATTCTGCATTAATTTCCCATTAGTTCTAGTTTCCCTCTGCTTTTGTTCTGTAGGTACAAATAAAAGTGAAAAGAAATAATAACAGTAATTATTATTATTACTACTATACGAATTGCTTTGATCTCAAAGACACATGAAAGGCATGAGACCCCAAGGTACCCATAGACAAAACATTCTACAAATAAATATACTTGGATACAGGAAGAACAGGGTGGGGTTAAAAAATTCTGAGTTTGAGCCCACCTGTGAGAACTAAGGAGCTGAGGAACCTACCTGCCTCAAAGCTGAATCTGTAAAACAAATTCATCATGTTCACTTAACTGTTTGTTAGTTATAGATAACAGTCAGTGAAAATTTATGTTTTCCGAATACAGAAGTAAAGTTACTTCTGAATTACCATGAGCATTCTAAACAGCATGAGCTCAAACTTCTACAACAATTTCTAAAATCTAGTCATGCGAGGCTGGAGAGATGGCTAGCTCTTACACTCACAACTCTTCCAGAGGACCCAGTCTGGTTCCCAGCACCTTCATAGAAGGCTCACAAGAGTTTCTAACTCCTATATGGAATACCACACACTCTCTTCTGGCTTTCATGGGTACCCACACACTTGTGACATACACACACATATACTAATAAATAAGTAAACAAATAAAAACAAATATAGTATTTAACATTTTCTTCCACGTAAAGTTAAGTAGAAAAGAAAGTTGTCAAGTTCTTACATGGCCTACTTGTGGAAACACTGCTAAACAACAAAGGTACACACTTGACATATAATACCAGAAAATAAATAAGTGAAAACTTACATGTGCAATATTGGAAAATGGATTTTGTTTAAGTTACTATTAATGGGGGAGTGTGTGTCACAGTACACATGTGGAAGTCAGAAGACAAAGCTGTGGAGCTAGTGCTCTCCTTCTATCAGTACATCAGTTCCAGAATCAAGCTCAGGCTACCAGGCTTCACAGCATCTTTAGCTGTTGAGCCATGTTGCCTACCCCAGAACAAATGCATATGTTCACTGAATATTCTGATTCTACCATTGGGCCCTTAAAAGACATGATGAAGAATAATACATGTGCTCAAAATGTAAATATTCATTAATAATTCCTTACAATAAAAATATTTTCTTCTTATATAACCAAAACCCTGTTAATTAGAGGCCAAAAAAATTGAATTAGAAATTGTTTAAATAAAGCAAATTTATGCTATAAAATGTTGTAAGTTATACTTAAACTCAAATTATTGAGTCATGTATCCTACCAACTCATGCTATAAAATTGATTTCAAATCATAACAAGACAAATTTTATAAAAGCAAAATGATAAAACAAAATCAACTTACTCGGTCTGCCAATCCTCCAGGAACAATAGTCCTCACAACCACGCCACTTGACTTTCCTCCAACTATCCCAAAACCTAGTCCAGAGCCATCATTAATGAGCTCAACCTCTTCAGTGTGGCCCCAAAACACCTACACATGAATGGAAGGTTAAAGTCAGTGTTGGTTACCCACAGATTCTTAGGTTTCCTGTATGATAATATATAACAGATTTGCAAGAAACTGAAAATTCATACAATTAATAGAGACAACTACCTATAGAGACAAAGGTATCCATATATTGGTAGAGGTATCAATCGATTGATAGAGGATAGATGATAGAGGATAGACTATTATCAGAGCAAGGTAGAGAGTCTCACCCATAGGGTATTATAATTCAATAGAGAAAATAAGCATAAATAATTGAAATACAGATCATACAACACTACAACTCAAAAAGGACTAGAAACATTTCCCAATCTGTGCCCATAACCTAGCACAGGGTACATAGAGAACCAATGAATATGCATTTGCTGAAAGATAAACACAATGTTACAAAGATTTCAGGGAGCTGGGGGAAAGGAAGGTTCATAAAAGGAAATATGCATGAAGAATCATGAAAAAGTTTAATGATAGCAGAAATTTAAATTTTACTACAAGTACTAGAGGCACACACCTATAATCCCCGTAATCAGGAGGTAGATGTAGGAAGATCAGGAATTCACAGCCAGCCTCTGCTGCATAATGAGTTCAAGGAAAACGTAGACTACACAAGACCAAGCTCATAAAAAATGTAATACAAAGAAAACAAGCATTCAACAAGAGGGAAATACAAGAGCAAAGCCGAGTCAAGAAACAGAATGAGGCAAAGACTGAAAAGAATAACAAAACTAAAGAAAGCAATGACTTAGGAAAATTAATCTGTCAACATTGTGAAGAACCAAAGTTTAATATGACTAAAAAGTGTAGGGAGAAGAGTAATGTTCTGAGTGAATATGTAGTGTTTGACATGGACATGGCCATACCAAGGACCCACGTTTCAGGCTCATGGGAGTGGCAAAGCCCTACCAGGCTCAGAGAAATAGCGAAGTCTTCCTCTGGTCCACATGCAGATAGGTGGTTGAACATGTGCATCATCGCTTTCCCTGAAGCTCCTCTACAGAGACTGCTCCCACAAACTAGCTAAGCCTTTCTCCTGCTCAGCTGCATGCAATAGCCCCACCTCCCTGTTCAACTGTATAAAGTAACCATGTTGAGCTTCCAGGGTGCTACAGCTTCTCCATCAGAGTCCAGCCCACCCAATCCCAGCTGTTTGTGTACATGTGTCTATGAGTCAGTCCTTTCTGCATTTCCTCATTGCCTCCTAGGCAGGGTTCCCAAACCCATGCAAGGATGTGACAAACAAACTAATTTAGAACACTCATGAGAGAAGACAGAGTTTCTCCAAACTCGAAATATTAGCAACATAAACATGCAAAAAGGCATAAGCAATTTTCCTTGATCAGACTCCCATGACAAATGCACATACTTTCATAAATTTCAACTGCGGAAGTCATTTTCATACTTAATTTTTCTATTCTACATTATCAAGTCATTCTTGGTTTTTTGTTTTGTTTTGGTTTGGTTTTCGAAACAGGGTTTCTCTGTGTAGCCCTGGCTGTACTGAAACTCACTCTGTAGACCAGGCTGACCTTGAAATCATCGAGATCCACACACCTCTGCCTCGGAGTGCTGGGATTAAAGGCAAGAGCCACCACTGCCCAGCCAATTTTTATGCTTTTAGAATTTATAAAATGTAACAAGCTTAAAAGATAAAAGAGGCATTGATTTTTTTCAAGTCAAGAAACAACTAAAAACAGAAAGATGGGGCTGCACAGGTAAAGGTGCCTGCTTACCAGCCTGACAACCTGAGTTCAACTTCCCAGACCCACATGGTAGAAGGAAAGAACCAACTCCCACTAGTTGCTCTCTCTCCTTTATAAGTACACTGTGACATGTTTGTCCCTGCTCACATACACAGATCCACCTATCTCTGCCTCCTAAGTGCTGGGACAACAGGTGTGTGTGCCACCATCCCTGGCTCAAAATTGAATTTTTTAAAAGTGACATCTGTTTTTTTTTAAACTTACATGAAAAAAAATGACTGCAATGATTTTGTAAAATCAATAATCTAGTCATAAACTTCCACTATAATTCATAAATATAAGATTTTTGCTTTTTTTTTTTTCCAAGAAAGGGTTTCTTTGTAGCTTTGGAGCCTGTCCTAGAACTTTGCTCTGTAGACCAGGCTGGCCTCGAACTCACAGAGATCCGCCTACCTCTGCCTCCGAGTGTTGGGATTAAAAGCGTGTACCACCACCACCCAGCTATAAATATAAGATTTTAAAAATAACCACATCTTCCTTAAGATAATCAATAGTAAGCTTCTAATAAAACCTCTGAAACTCAAAGGTATAGTGGCAGACACCCATAATCCTAGCATTCAGGAGGCTGAACCAAGGGAATTGTGAGTTCAAGGCCAGTCTGGGCTACATAGCACATTTCCCCCTCCTCCTACACACACATTAACTTACTATAACAACAAAGAACACACAACATCTTACCACTAAATAAGTTAAAAATAATATTTGATTTGGCCTCTATATAATAATCTCCAGTAAGGAAACTAACCATTAAATAGACCAAAAAAAAAAAATCAGACATTAAAAAGACAAAAACAAAACAAATTCCTCCAATAAACATTTTGTAATGTTGTCATTTAGATATATGATCACCTTTCTGGACCTAGAATAATGGAAAGGACTTCAATGACTACCAACTATTATTATAGTGGTAACATAATTTAGAATGAATATGTTCCCAAGCTTATGACCCACCATTTCAGACAGAGATGTATCAGCTGAGCTGGTGGAAGTGCGGCCCTGTGTGTGGCCCACTTCCCTGGCCACAACCAGACGCAGAGTCCCAGTGGTTTGTTGTAGTAATGCAATCGCCTGCTGATGGGAAACATTATGATCCAATGGGGTGTCATTAATGGCCAAAATCTGGTCATTTTCCTTCAATCTTTGATCCCTAATCATACAAGAAAAGAAGAATGTGTTAAGTACTGTGACAGCCTGAACACGCAAACGGAGCTGGCTCTGGCATCCTTCTATGAATCAGAGGGTCCATTAGCACTTACGTTTCTCTTACACCATCCTAACTCATGTTAACACTGCCCTTTCACATGAGACTCTAAAACTTGAAAAATTAAGTCACTTGAGCAAGACTGCACAGTTGGAGAGAAAAAGCTACATCCAGCCTCAAACTACAAGAATCTTTTGACTAATGAGTCTGTAAGAATAGACTCTGCCCCAGATAATCTGTCTCAGAGGTGCTGATATTACTTTTATTACATGTATTCAATTTTAGTTTCACATAAGGGAAACATTTTGGGTAACAAGATGTCAACAGAATATTTAGAAAGGTTTTTGCTATGGTTTCAATGTCCGTGCCTCTAAACACCTGTGGAAATTTTAATTTCTATTGTAAAGTATCAAGATGTAGGACTTCTAAGGGAAGATGACGTTGTAAGGATTATCCACTCATGGATAAGATTGGTGTCTTCACAAAAGGTAAGTTTAACTCCTTGTTGTCCTGCTTCACCTTACCTTCTACCATGTGAAGAAACAGCAAGAAGCCCAAGTCAGTTGTAAATGCCTTGGCATACTCTTCTTAGCTTCCAGAGCTATGAGCCAATAAACCTCTGTTTGTTGTAAGTTTTAAAACTTCAGGCATTCTGTTATAGGAAAATGGACTAAGACTGAGCCTCACAATCAGCTTTTAAAGGAACTGAGAAGTAAATGCTGAAGCTAGAGACGTGTGTACACTGCCAGAGGCTCACTGACTACACGGCGGAAGGTCAGGCTGCAAGGAAGACTGACTCTCACATCATAGATAAGAGCATCCTGTATCAGAACATCCAATACACAGTCAGGAAGGATAACCCATTATTATACCAGCACTTCCCAGGATGTTCCAGAACTTTATAGATAGATGCTCTTCTTAAAAAGCAAGTTGTTACCAGAAGATGAAAGGAGGAAGAAGCTGGGAGTGGCCGTAAACATATATAACAAGTGGGAGCTCTTTTTCTAGTAGATGAAGTTTCAAGAATTTTTACTATTTCTAGAATAATGGAAATGACAGTAACACACTGAGTGTATTAAACATCCCTTCAAAATGGTATAAGATTTATACTATTTGGATTATAACCCAATGGATCTATTATCTACAATAATGGGAATGACAGAAACACACTGAGTGTATTAAACATCCCTTCAAAATGGAAAATTTATACTATTTGGATTATAACCCAGTGGATCTATTATTTTAAATTTTGGGTTAAAGAGACTAGAAATAATCATCTATAAAGACAGAATAAATGTGAAAAAATATTGACAGAATTTTGTAATCATAATCTGCCACTACTGCTACCTGAATAGTTATCTAGACTAGAAATCAAAGACACAAAAACTTTGTGTGGAACCCTTCAAATACAACAGCAGGTTTATGTGGAGACAGTGGGGTTAAAGAACCTCTAGAGAGCTAACCAGCACTGGGTGCTACTGCTACTGTTTTTACTGCTAGTTTCTTATTCTCTCTAACATTTCCAGAGCTGTCAAGAAAACATGGACCAAGTACAAAATGAACTTCCTCACCTGTCTGCTACACTCCCTGGATGAACCTCCTTCACAAAGATGTCAATTAATCCCAGACTTTGGCTTCTCAGGGCCACCACACTGAATCCAAGGCCTCCAGTTGAAGGGCGTTCTATTTCTATATATTCAACATGCCGACCCTAACGAAGGGGGGAAAAGTCAGAAAGAAAAAACAACCATGATGTGCATCCAAACATCACCTTTCCACAGAACCGAACTGCACAACACACAGCCGCTTTTATGTTGTCGCTATCAGTCTGAATATGCTCAGCGTTCTCGTGATATGCTGGCTCTGGAAACCTTTTAACTTGACTGTTTTTAACAAAGCACAGAGTACAGCACTGAGAAGCATTTTACAATTCATCCACATTATGAGATAGATTCTGCGCTGGACAAAAACTGAAAACAAACACCCGTTCCCATAGTAAATTCTCAATTACTTTGTGCATAAATTTCTTTAAATTCCCCTTGATGCAAAACACACTTTTAGAAAAGAAGGCAAATCAGATATGCCAGAAGCATGTTAGTGTTCAGTCCAGTCAGAACCAGCTGCATTTATATCATTCTGTTTTACATCCACAGTAATGAATTAATGAATCCATTCACTTGATCATTTCAAAAGGCTGCAGAGTCCCAGGACTGCAGAGTATGTCACCATTTTGGTTAACAACTACATGTACAGTGTGAGAGCATCATAAAAACAATCACATCACAAGGGCCTCACGCAGAGCAGATGGAGCTTAATGTCATGAAAGAACTAGGATATTTTCCACTACCGTGACTTGAAACAATTTCCTTTTCATTCCCAAACCCAAACTTATTTATTTATTTACTTACTTACATACTTACTGACGTATTTTCTTCTCTTTTGGTTTTCTGATACAGAGTTCTTTGTGCAGTCCCAGCGGTTCTGAACTCACTCTGTAGACCAGGCTGGCCTCAAACTCACTGAGATCCTCCTACCTCTGCCTCCCAAGTGCTAGAATTAAAGGGTGTGTACCTCCAAACCCAGCTTCTTATTTTTAAGATTGACTTTATTTTGAATTATGTGTATAGGTATCAATCTGTGCACAGGTATGTGCACATGAACTGCCTACGACTGTGAGGCCAGAAGAGGGCTGGATCCCTGGAGCTGGAGTTATAATAGGCATTTGTGAGCCACCCAACGTGAGTGCCAGCAACCAATCTCAAGTCTTCAACAAGAATTCTAAATTTTCTTTAAAAAGTCAAAAACTTCAGTTGTCTACTATTTACTTCTTGGTAGGTATTAGGGGCTACAGTTAAACTATCCATTCTAATATTTCCCTAGATCTTCCAAATTATATTAATTGTAATTTACAAATTCCATTTTGATATAAAAGTATAACAGAAATTTTCTCATAGTGTTCTGTTTTGTTTGTTTTCTTTTTCTTATCATTTCAGACAGGGTATCTGTCTATGCAGCTCAAGCTGGCCTCAAAACTAGAGGTCCCCTGCCTCAGTCTGCAGAATGCTACTGGGCTGCAGGCTGCTGCGAGCATATTCTACTGTCCTGTAATTTAATGGCAAGTTCCTTGTTAGGAATAGACACAATTCCTCCTGCCAGTATAAGCAAACAAAATACATAGTAATTTTAAGACAAAAAGAATAATTCTCCTTTAAAAAGTGAAACAGAAGAGAAATTAATGAAGCTAAATACTCAGTGACATGACATAACCTTACCTGAGCCATCTGCTGAATGACTGAGTTAAAGTCTTCATTTCCTGCCTTTGGGTTCCAAGGCAACAATCCAGATGCAGTTAAATTACTACAAGATCTGTGGGCATTCCCATTTGTAATGGAACCATCCGTGAACACTAACAAACCCTTCCGAGAAAATTCAAAGTTGGCTGAACAATCCGAAGGAATATGGCTAAGCTATTGGAAAGATAAGAAAATAATCAACAGAAGTCTATAGAAAATAAACAATCTCTATCTATTGCATTATATGTATAATTTATATACATATTAAAGAAGTAAAGGGCCAGCATGGTGGCACATGACTTTAAGCCCAGTATTCGGACACAGAGGCAGGAAGACCTCTATGAGTAAAAGGTCAACCTGCTCTCTATATTTAGCAAGCCAACCAGAGCTACAGAGTGAAACTCTTTCTTAGGAAGGAAGGGAGAGAGGCAGGCAGGGAGAGGGGGAAAAAAAGTGAGACGTAGATTGTAGTGGTGTATATGTATGAGTGCGGTGTGTGTGTGGGTGACAGAGAGAGAGAGAGAGAGAGAGAGAGAGAGAGAGAGAGAGAATAAAAAACACTGGCTGATATAAGTGCCAACACAGTAAAATAAAACAACATTAACAAGGGGGATAGAGAGATGGCTCAGTAGTTAAGAGCAGTTGCTGCTCTTCCAAAAGATCTGGGTTCAGTTCATAGCACACACTGTGGCTCACAACCGTGTGTGTGTGTGTGTGTGTGTGTGTGTGTGTTGAGAGAGATGGCTCAGTAGTTATACTACTCTTCCAAGTACCATAGCATCCATATCAGCAGTTCACAGCCACCTGTATTACAGCTCCAATGAATCTGACACCTCTGCCACCCTACACACACTTACATGCACATAACTAAAATAATGGGTTTTTTGTTTTGTTTTGTTTTGTTCTACTGAGACAAGGTTTCTTTGTGTAGCCCTGGCTGTCCTGGAACTAGTTCTGTAGACCAGGCTATTTTAAACTCAAAGAGATCCATCTGCTTCTACCTCCCATGTGCTAGGATTAAAAGTGTGCACCACCAACGCCCAACAAAATAATTCCTAATTAGAGAAAACAAATAAAGTACCTATAAGCAAATCAGTATGTTCTTAAGGAAAAAGCTTTTTAATATTATAAAAGATATTTATTTTTAAAATTTATTCTTGACACACCTATGTAAGATACTGGGCCCTTTTGCATTTATCTATATATCTCCATGGAGGAGCCACAAAAGAACCACAGCAGGCAAACAATAATACTCACAGCAACAGTGTTTAATCATTGTTTCTAAGAGCCAGGCACTAGACAAGATTCCTACATGGATATCATATTATCTCATTGAATCTCTTGTAATAGCCCAACTGATGTCATTCATTATCCCATTTGGTGAATATGAAAATTGAGGCACTCAACATCCTTGTATAATATTAATGGCAAGTAAATCACAAGGCCACTTAAACACTCTAAAAAAGAGCACCCTAGCATTACAAGAAGTAACTTTTGTAAAACACTGGCTAATACAAGTGCCCACACAGTAGAATAAAAACGTTATAACAAATGTTAAAGAGGGATGGAGAGATGGCTCAGTAGTTAAGAACACTTGCTGCTCTTCCAAAAGATCTGGGTTCAATTCCCAGTACACACATGGTGGCTCACAACCATCTCTAACTCTAGTCTAGGGAATCCAACAACCTATTCTAACCTCTGCAGGTACCAGGCACACACAAGGTGATACAACTATAAAATATAAGCAAAACATCCATAGACTTAAAAAATAATAATAAATGTGAAGATAGTTTCTTATATGTATGACAAAGAGTTGCATACATGGAATTCTTACAATATGGTCACCTAAAGAAGACCTACATAAAGATAACGCCAGCTGATGTAGCAACATGGATAGGGAGAATCTTAGAAAGTCCCACCCTCGATGAGTGGCAGGTAAAAGAGAGAGCCAGTCTTCTTCAGGGACAGAACTCTGATAGATTAAAAAAGGGTCATCCCTCAACATATACACATATGAGCAACACTAAATGGAACCAGTGGACTGTATCATATATACATATATGTATGAATATGAATAATTAAAGGAGAAGAGGTAACGAAGTTTAGAGGGAGTAGGAGGAGAACACGAGAGAGGTTGTAAGGGTGAGAGTATAAGGTAAAAATGTTATAAATGGGGGTCTTGCACAGTAGTAACAAGCCTTTTAATCCCAGCACTTTGCAAATATGGGCAAGTGGGTCTATGTGAGTTCCAGGACAACCAGGACTATACAGTAAGACCCTGTCTCAAATAGATAAACAATAAAATTAACATTTTCAAAAAGAATAAATGTCAAACACAAACAAGATCAAGCCAAGAAGATCAGTCAGTACCCTAACAGGCAGTATTAATAGAACTCAGTGAGTTTAAGAAAGAAAGAAAGAAAGAAAGAAAGAAAGGAAAAGAAAAGAAAAGGATGAAGCAGAAAAAAGGACATAATAGAGGTACCTGGAGAGAATTTGTTAGAAGCTAGGGGAAATATGTTCAAGATACACTGTTTACTTGCATGAAATTGACAAATAAGTAATAAAAGACAATCTATTATTAAATAAACAGCAAGGGCCAGGAGAGGACTCTGAGTAAACGTGCTTGTTACGCCATGCTGATGTCCTGAATTCAGATTCCTGAAACCCACACACAATACTTCAGATTGTCCTCAAGCCTCCACATGCACCTTCCACACAAACATGCACATACATCATATGCACAAGAAAATCAATCAATACACTTGTTTATTAAAAAGAGAAAGAGAGGGGCTGGCAAGATGGCTCAGGGGTTAAGAGCACTGACTGCTCTTCCAGAGGACCTGGGTCAAATTCCCAGCACCCACATAGCAGCTTACAGCTGTCTGTAGCTCCAGTTCCAGAGAATCGGACATCATTATACCAATGCACATGAAATAAAGTTAAATAAAGTTTAAAAAAATAAATAAATAAAAAGAGAAAGAGAAGACAGAGAGAGTAGGCAAGAGGGCTCAGAAGATAAAGGCACTTGCTGCCAAGCCTGACGACCAGAGTTGGATCTCTGGGACCCTCATTGTATAAGGAGGGAATCAACATACACAAGTTGTCCTCTGACTGCCACACATGCCCATATACATACTACATACATACCTGCACACACACAAAAAATAAACAAAATGTAATGAAAAAAGTAACTAAACAGGTAATAAATGTCAAGAGCTGAGAATGGGGTGCAGTGGTAGGGTTCCGGCATACACAAGGCCCTGGGCTCAGTCTCAACACCATATAACAAAGAAATAAAATTAGAAGCTATTTTATAATTTTGAAGAAAATGTTAAGATCCTAAAGCACTTGATCGTTAATTATTTATCACACTCCAAAGCCCAACATAAACTTCATCCACACTTATACCATCCACGAGGCTGCCCACAGCTTGCAGGCCTCATGCACAGTTGCTAACCTAAGAGTGACGATCCTCCTATACTCCTTCACTGATCTGAAGCCACCAAGGTAAGGCCAAGGAACCACTCACTTGTCCCTTGAGCTGCTTGATGGACTGCTGGAGAGTGAGGATCTGGTTGAAGAGAGGGCTCTTCAGCGTCTCGTAGAACACGGACAGCTTCTCGTTCTGTGTCGTGTCTCCCTTCTCCTGCAGTCTCAGTCTCAGGCGGTCAAGGACCTGCAGCACCTGCATTTTCTCTTGGTTAGAGAAAGGCGATCAGAGCTCATGTTAGACACCATCTCACCATCCACATCTAAATGAAGTAATTGAACAATAAAAAGTTATAGCTTCTATACCTGCTGCAGGATTTTCAGGCATTTTGGATTGTCCCTTTCAAAAAGCCTAAAGGAAAAAAAAATTAACCTTAATTATAGAAGTATGTCTGTAGTCCTACAGAGGAAAATAAAACAAACTTCAAGAACACTCGTTGTCAAAACTGTTCTTAGTGAAATTCAAATTAAGACCACATAAAGGCATCAATCCATGTCCACTCAGATGGGGAAAATCTAAAAAGACCAGCGTGAGTGCTGGCAAGGCTGCAAAGCAGCTACAGCTATCACATGCTGTTAGTAGGGAAATAAAATGGCACACCACTTTGGGAAATTATTTGGTACTTTATTTTTATTAATTTTTTATAGTTTAAATCATAAGTAGTTTTTTATAAAGTCAAAATTTATAATGCACTAATTATATAATCTACCCCTTCTGCTCATATTTACCCAAGAGAAATGAAAATATGACCTGTACATGAAAGTATATAGTATGATTTGTAAAAGGTCCCAACTAGAAATACTGAGATGCCTAGTCATACTAGTGGATAAACAAATAAATGTTACATAAATATAATATTCAGGGAAAAAAGTTTCTGACACATACAATAAGGGTGAATCCAAAAAGTAGAGTACTGGGGGTTGGGGTAGGGATGTGGTGAAGGTGGTAGAGTTCTTAACCAGTATGCAGGAAGCCCCAGGTTCTATCCCCAGCACCACATAACTGTAATCCCAACACTTGGAAGGAGGACCAGGCGTTCAAGGCTGGAATGGGCTACAAGAGATGATATGTCAACAACAAAACCAATAAGGCTGTCATCAGCATTGGTAGGGGTCCAGGTAGTCTATGCAAATGTTCCCCGTGTGAAAATTCCCCAAAAACCTGAGATCAGAGCATCTCAGAAACACTCCTCATATACTCAGCACCACAATTGCACAATCCTCACAACAATCGAACAGGCAGCTATGAGGACAGCCAGGATGGCACTGTTCTTTTTATATGAGCACAGCGCCCAAAACCAGTCTGAAGGCCATTAATCAATCAATATTGATAAAGCAAAGAATGCAAGCTCAAAACTGTAAGATGCCATTGTTATAGTTGAATGTCTAGTATAGTATGAATGACTAGTTAATTAAAAGAACAGCAGGAGTCTGCCCCCAGACGCCTCTGAAAAGCAGGCAGGAGGACAGACTGCACAATCTTTTAGGAGGACAATTTAGTGCCTACAAATGGAGAGGTGTAAATTTAATTTAATTCTCTTTTACCAGGATTTCAATTTCTGGGTCTCTCTCTCTCTCTCTCTCTCTCTCTCTCTCTCTCTCTCTCTCTCCAATGGCATGTGGCTCTCTCCTTCCCAGCCTGCCTCACAAACACACTTTAACAGAGACCTTTATTCCAAAATGTCAGGTACACAGTCCAAAAATCCATGGATTCCTGAGGCATGGCTAGCTGGGAAACAGGAAACAGAGACATTTTTGGTTTGTATAAGTAAAGAAAGGCTTATGGAAATAAAGGCTTTCAAGACAGAAAAGGTCTCCTTAAATTCCATCCAGGCCAACAAGACCCAATCTGAAAGTAAATACATAAAAATAAAATAATCATGTAAAAACAAATTTTAAAAAAGAAAGTCTTCCTTTAGAAAACTATTTCTGTATAGTCCACAGAATTTTCTGGATTTTTTAATGATTTATTTTCACTTTTTATGTGTGTTGGTGTTTTGTCTGCATATATGCCTCTATGAGGGTGTCAGATCCCCTAAAACTGGAGTTACAGACAGTTGTGAACTGTCATGTAGGTCCTGGGAATTGAACTCAGATCTTCTAGAAGAGTATCCAAGTACTCTTAACCCCTGAGACATCTCTCCAGGCCCAATTTTTTTGTGTGAATGGATTTGTTTTTGATTTAGTACATCACTTTAAAAAAAAAAAGTGTCTCCAAGAGATTGAAAACAAATATACACAAAGAAATGATTAGGTCAGTCACAATCATTACTGCTGTGGGACAAAGGTCTTTTATCCTGTCACTTGTATTATTTTTAATAAAATGCTGATTGGCCAGTAGCCAGGCAGGAAGTATAGGCGGGGCAATGACGACCATGCAAAAAGTAGAAGCGTGGCAATGAGAATTATGGGAAGAAGGAAGTTTCAGTCTGCAGTCGTCATCCAGACACAGAGATGTGACTGCCTCGCCAAAAAAGGTACCAAGCCACATGGCTAAAACAGACAAGAATTATGGGCTAATATAACTTATAAGAGTTAATAAGCAGCCTGAGCTAATAGGCCAATCAGTTTATGATTAATGTAGATCTCTGTGTGATTTCTTTGGGACTGAACAACTGCAGGGCTGGGTGAGATAGAAATCTCGGTCAACACATCACCACCAGCCGAATCCTCCCTGCCACAAGAGCATCGAAGATCAGAATCTTACACACACTAGGCGAGCACTGTACAGTCAACCTACATGCCCAGCCCCATCGTACTTCCTTAAAAGCCGTAATTATGTGCCAACAGGTCATGTTTGGTTAGAATGTGATTAAACTATCTAATTCTACAGGGCATGTGGTGTGATTCTGACCACAATGAACTTGTGAGAGGATTTGAGAGATTTGTGATTTTACATGATGTCTATAGTGATATTTTATTTGTGATCTAACAAATAAAACTTGCCTGAAGATCAGAGTGTGCAGCTAAGCCACTAGTTAGCCATAGAGGCCAGGCAGTGGTGGCGCACACCTTTAATCCCAGCTCTTAAGAGTCAGGTGGATCTCTGTGAGTTCAAGACCACCATGGGCTACTTTTGCCTAAACAAGAAACAGAACTCACACAAAGGTGATCCCAGCACCTGCGATCACACGCCTTTAATCTCAGCACTAGGGAGGTAGACACAGGAGCGAAATGGATGGGTGTGGAGAGGAATATAAGGCGGAGGAGACAGGAGCCAGATCAGTCTGAGGATTCGTGCAGTCAGGATCGCCCTTTTGGCCTGAGCATTGATAGAGGTAAGAACACTAGTGGCAGGTCACTCTGCTTCTCTGATCTTCAGTATTAACGCCTATATCCTACTTTGGGTTTTTATTAATAAAAACAATTAAAATTCATGTTACAGATGTCCGTAATGGCCAGCAAGTATTTATTCTTTCCTGTTCAAGAGAACATATTACTGGCATCAAAACCATCTCCTTACCAACAAACCACTTGCTATTCAAAATAGCAATGTCTGAGACTGAATTTTACTTCAGTGGACAAATTAAGAATTTCAGTAAGAGGCTACAAAATGCACTTAGAGCTAATTTCCTATGGACTCATCAAATAGAGGACTTGAAACATGGTGGCTGTGTGCTGTCAAATCCAGGAAAGTAAGATTCCTGGGAGTTTTACCTGCTGGCTGGGGTTCCTCGTGGCTATCTGTGTCTGACTTCTGCTATACAGTTGGAATTGAGTTAGATCTCAAATTCACATGAGACCTGAGCATGCTGGAAAACCCACCCTTTGTATAAAACAGGAAAGCTGTACAACATGCCCAAGTGATAGGGAAAGCAGCATTTAGCAGAATATTTGTGTTATTTCCAAACAAAGACAAAAAGTGTGCATTGGGAAATTTTCTAGAAAAACATTTAGGAAGTAATAGTGATTGTTTCCAGAAAACAGAAAAGAGGAATTTAAAAGCTAGCCTTTGGAGGATGAGGTTATAATTCAGTGGAGAACATATGGTCAACATGCATGAGGATTCAATCCCAACATCACAGAAAAATAATAAAACAAAAATTAGCCTAAAACTTTATAGATTCAGGGTGGATTGAATTTTTATTAAAAAACTATGGATTAAGAATGTAGTTCAGGGGCTGGAGAGATGGCTCAGAGGTTAAGAGCATTGCCTGCTCTCCCAAAGGTCCCGAGTTCAATTCCCAGCAACCACATGGTGGCTCACAACCATCTGTAATGGGGTCTGGTGCCCTCTTCTGGCATACACACAGACAGAATATTGTATATATAATAAATAAATAAATAAATAAATAAATAAATAGCAACGCGTATGCCTATAACCCCAGGTCACAGGAGACTGAGGGAAAAAGATCTTGAGTTTGAGGTCAGTCTAGGCATAAAACAGATCTAACCTCAACAAGTAAGTAAAGATATGTAAATAATAAAGTAAAAGTAACAAAAAGATAATGACTAGGGGGGTCTAACAAGAACAAGATATACAGCAAGATAGCAACAACGAAATGGGATAGATATAGTGGAAATTCTGATTGGTCTTAATAATAAAAAATAATAAAATAATAAAAACTTGGTGTCAGATATAGGGGTTAATGCTCAAAGACCAGAGAAGCAGAACTGCTACCCACTAGTTCTTACCTCTACTGAATCCTCAGACCCAAAGGGCAATCCTGTCCCTATGAATCCCTCAGACTGAATGGGATATCCTGTCTCTACAAGTCCTTAGACTGAATGCCTTCTCTAAGAAACCACAGATTGAATTCTAAGCTCCTGTCACCTCCTGCCTTACATAACTCTCTCCAGCCAGCCATATCACCTCTCGTCTCCATCTCTCAAGTGCTGGGATTAAAGGTGTATGCCACCACTGCCTGGCCTCTAACTAGTGCGGCTAGGTCCGCACTCTGATCTTCAGGCAAGTTTTATTTGTTAAATGACAAACAAAATATCACCACAGGATCATTACAATGCAAGGCACACAGTAGTAGTACCTTGTGCTAAGAGAAAGCAGACTAAACCACCTAGGAAGGGGGTCTGGGAATGCTATAATATGTACTTCAGAAACCCTTGCACAAGCCAGGCATTGATGGAGCACACCTTTAATCCCAGTACTTGGGAGACAGAAGCAGGTGGATCTCTGTGACTTCAAGGCAAGTTTGGTCTACAAAGTGAGTTCCAGAAAGTTCTCTGTGTAACAGTCAGAACTATTATGCAGAGAAACTCTATCTCAAAAAATAGAAAAGTTTTAAGAAAAAATAAAAAGGAACACTTTCACTGTAAAAGAAAAGGGGGTGGTCGGGGCTGGAAGGATGGCTCAGAGGTTAAGAGCACTGACTGCCTTTCCAGAGGTCCTGAGTT